TGTGTAGACCATGAAGGGGCTGGCTGGGGCCATGAGGGTACTTCAGTGTGGAGGCTGCCTGCCAGCTAGCCCTGCATTGACACACCCTTGTGCCCCAGCCAGCCCTTCTGCAGCATGTTGAGCTGGGTCAGAGCAGCCCCAGGCTGGGAGCCTGAACCCCTGGGCCCATTGCCAGCTGGGGCTGGTTTGACTCAGCTCAACATGTTGCGCTCCCAGACACATGTTCAAACATGGTGCCCAAGAGCAATAAACTCTGTCATAAAATGTGCTGGAGTTTATTGGTGCACATTAACTGCATGTGTAGATGTGCCCACTGAGAAGAAGGATAGATCCAGGACTCCCACTTCCTGGAAGAGCCTTCTAATCACTAGATTTTTATACAAAGGACAGTGGAAGCATCACCACCAATAACAAAAAAGATTGAGCTGGTTATCCACACTTAAAGGAACATCTTGGGTGCCTAAATGGATGAGGTTACTTTAGACTGTGAACACCAGTCACACCTAGGTGTCTAAGGCCATTACTACAAGATGAAGTTACTGTGCTGAACTGTGATGGCCTCGAGTGTGTTGTGCTACCTTGGGCAGGCTGCCTCTTAAATTAGAAGTAGTGTAGTGACATTCACATGATGTTTCAGGCAGGCTAATTTACCTACTGGTGGCACCACAGAGACACTGCTTATGGTTTAGGAGGCAACCTGCTCAGAATACACCAGTGAGTTTGAGAAGTTTATTATGCAGACATGACCTAACTCCAGATTATACGTAGGCACCTGCAGGATTTCAGACATGCTTTTCTCTTTAACCATGTCATGTTTGGCATTTCCTACTGGCCAGCTTAGGTGTCCCGCAAACTCAGAATGTTGGCAACTGAGAGTCACATTTTTGGGTGGCTAATTCACCATGTTCATTGCATAGGGAACTTACATGTTTGTACAGTACATCGATCTGAAGTCAGGGCTCTTTGGTGCTATCAGAAATAATAACAAATATAACAACTAGTTAGCTATAGAATAGAGTTTCTGTTATGGTAGCTGCCTTCAGTGCTAACCTGAAATATTCTCTGTAGCACTGAGGGGTAATTTGCTTCCTGAGGCCATGTCTACATGAGGTACTGACAGTGTAGTAGCCTGTTACTACTGTGCAGTAGTATTGTGTGGCAGCATAGGTAATGCATAGGGGGAGCATGGGGTGGGGGCGCATGCCCCCTTTGAGAGTGCTGGTGCCCCCCCTGAGAGCGAGCAGTCTGGCTGGTAGGGGGGCATGGAGAGTGCTTGTGTTCCCCCTGAAATTGGCTCAGCTGGCAGGATGTCAGCATCAGATGTTGGCTGCTGTACCACATGTGGAAGTGCTGGCATGAGGGTACTTCAGTGTGGGGACCCCCTCCCCCGGTCACTGTAATTAGCTCCTGGGGGATCCCCTCCAGTTGCTGTGATTAGCTGTTGGGGGACCCTAGTCACTGGCTGGCTGCTGGAGGACCCCACCCCCAGTTGTGCTCTGCTGGTGCCCCCCCCAGACTTGGGAGGTACCAGTCGCCCAGGCATGGCAGGAAGCATGATTTGACACTACTGTGTAGTAGTAACGAGCTACTGTGCAGTCAGTGTCACAAAAGCCATTTGGCAATGCTACTGCACAGTAACTCTGGTAACTGTGCAGCCATTGAGTACTTGTATAAACAAGTACTCAATGACTGCGCAGTAATGACTACGCAGTCAGTGTCTCATGTAGATACGGCCTGAATTATGTAAGCTATAGATACCCTTGTGTCTGGGTAAGGAGTGCCTTATGTAATTAATTGTATACAATTTTGGCATCAACATCAGTAGAGAGAAAGGTTCAAAGGAGTTACCAATAACTATAGAATCTCACAGGTACTTGGACAAACCAGTGGTATATGTTCCATTGAACTACACTAGAAGAGTAGTCCAGAGCTGACTGACCAGCATTCATAGAAAAGAATCCACAATCAGATTTATCACGTATATACCAAAAAAAGCCAGTTTCTCTATTGATGACTCCAAATTCAGTTAATTTAAAATTGTTAAACAGCACACAGCAGGGATCCAACCTGTTATTTTTACATTAAAGGCTGACAGAAAGTCCAGAACTGTGAGACATCCTATTCTGTATAGCTTTGTCATGCGAATTGTGTTTTCCCCAGGAACCAAGATTAATCCACCAAACTTGGTCATATCTAGGGCTTACGTTGCAAAGAGATTTTCATCCTTTAAAGGTAATGAAACAATAATTTTTCCAGCAACTCTAAGTGTTATTTCCTTCCTCCTTTATATATTGTTTTGTAGAAAGAATTTTCTTTTTCAGCCATTTCATTTAGAGGTCTCGATTTTGAAAAAAAAAAATGACAGTGCATTTGAAAACCTGATGGCTTTGTGGTGAGCTAACATGTTAGAAACGTGAATTGTTTAACATAATTAGACTGTGAGTTCAACGAGATATCCTGAAACTAGATGCTATGCAAATGTTAAACTTCTCTTATCCCCATTACATCTGAAGGTATTAACCAAACATATGTTTTTTTTAGTTCCTGTTACTGAAGAAAAATATAGTTAGGGCAGTGTAATTTTTTTAAGTGTGAAAATGATTGTGAATAATAGTATTTTGTAATGGGAATTTTGACTTCATGGTAGCTGCAGGTTTTGCCCTGAATAAACTAAAGATAAAGAGTTCAAATAAAATACCAGACATCAACCTAAAATAGCAAAGACCTTTTACATTTGTTAATGATCTAATTCCAGTGCACCTAATTATTTCAGTGTAGCCCAATGTTCAATTCAAGATGTGTCCCTACATGCTGTCTACTGAGGGCATGAGTAAAGTTCACTTCTTAAACTGAATTGTTATATCAAGCTATTAATACTTAACTCTGATGGTCATTGGTCCAATCCCCCATGAGGACTATAATGATGGAAGTTATGATAGCACATATAAAGTACAAAAGTAACCTACTATTTGGTGATTTAGGGATGCCCTAGGGATAAAATTAATATTATTATAATTAACAGCAGGCTAGATACTTTAAAACACCTAAGACACAGTCCAAAAACTTCCATTCTAATTGAAGGCATGATAGGAGCAATTAATAGGCTGATGGAGATAGAACTGGGAAAGGTTCCCATTGAAGAAACCTTGCAACTCAAAGTCAGCATGAGGGCTCTATCATCATTTATCTTGACCCCCAGCATAAGCTATGTATCAGAGGAGCTCTGGGTACAGGGAAAGGGAACAGGGTGATGTTTAAAATGATGGAGAGGAAAGGGCTGGTGTAATAACTAGAGTGTATAAGAGGCTACACGAAACAGAAGATAAGTTAGAGCAGTCACAAGGCCTTGGGGATGCTTTAACTCACATCAGGGGTCATGCTTCAGAGTCCTGGTCTATCAACGGCTGGTTATATGAGAGACTGAATAGAGAAGAAACAAGTTATATCAGCGCTTCATAAGCAGATCCTTTGGTCTATGAGCCCATTTAACTATGAATTGTCTTCAAATATGGTTTTGTCCATTCCCTATCATCTGTGGATGGAAGAACAGGGATAGGAGAGACATTTTTGTAATGGGAAATTTTTTTAACTCATCCATTAGTCCAATGTCAGTGCCCTGTCACTGAGGATAGGTCTGTGCACTGTTTTCTTCAGCCTTACACAGATGAAAGGACAGTTATTACTACAAAAGCCCTGTGAGGAAAGACTAGACTAAAAGGTAATAGGGACCATAGGGATCCAAAAAGGCAACTCCAGAAAGGGACCAGTCTAAGGAAAGGGGGGTGGGCACTTAAAATATTTGCTAGAGTTGTAATGCTTCTGTATCTTTCATACTTATTAAAGGAATACATGAAGGTTATTTCAGATACCTGAAGCAGAAAACATTTAGTTTTCCATGGCAATGCCAGTAAATTCTTATCATCTAATTGAATAATCAACATACAATCTCATTCAGTCACCAGCAGTTTAAATTATGGGTGACTGAATTATTGACTTAGCATGCAAATCCAAGGCAAAAAAGAATAAAAGTTAATTTTATCATTATCCTGGATATGTCAGTGTCAAGGCCAAGCCAGTAATTTCAACTTACACTCATTTATACCTTAATACATGATGTTTTGAACATTGGTTAAGATGAAACTCTAGCTATGCAAATGAAGTCATTATACAGCTTCACAGAGGGAAAAAAAGAACCATTTATTTGGCCTATTATGTAAATGTAGGTATTTAGTGTTTAAAATACTCCTTTGCCATTGACCTGACAGCCTGTCACTAAAAAACACAGGATGGTTCTCAAAGCTTGGACAGCCGCTATAAGCAAGGTGGATAATAAATGCTTCTGCAGTGCATTTCATTTGTCAGTCTCATGACACTTTTCTCAGGTGGGTAAAGGATTATACACAGGGAAAGTAGCTGGCAATTCTCACCTAAACACCTAGACAGATGAACACTATTTGCAGATAGGAAAATATAAAAAGTTGTGGTCCTGTTTCAGGTCACATTGTTTAGATTTAGAAAGATCAAAACATTCAAACTTTTAACCAGATTTTTTGAACAAGGAGGGAATGGCACTTTCAAACCATCAAAAGCACAAATACTAAAATTAGCACAAAATTGTGGGGGTAGAAGGCAAGACCTCTATCAAAAGGTTAGTTTGCATCTATTCACTGTATAACCATATATGTACACATATTTTTCTACATGCTTTCCTACTAGGAAATTCCTGGTGATTGCAGAAACCCTCAATACTTTGAAAGCTGGCAATGCCAAAAGGGCTGAACTGGTCTATTAGACTATTAACTTTCCTCCCCCAGCTCATAAAGAAGAACGAATGATAGATTTCGGATTGAATACATTTTCCATTTGCTGAATCGTTGTTTTTGTTCATGCTGTTTGTGGTTAACTGTGCACGTACTAATCAAACCCACTACTTCCTTTCTCGTAAAACCAAAACAAAGCTTCATATACCTTTCAGGTACAGTGTGTGTATATAACTAGGATCAAAGCTATATATACACTGAATCTGTGTGGGTTCAAACATTTCAAAGATTCAGTATCCTCAAAGGTGTTGCCCTTCCCCTGCAGTTTTGACAGTTCCAGCTTGGTCTGGAGTCAGAGGACATCAGCCAGCTTTGTCTCCTTTGATATCCATCTCTGCATTGGAATGATTGCGCTATTGATCACCATCGGCTTTCTCTGCACAGCCACTGGCATCGCTAAAGGTGGGTAGATAAAGGAGACAAGGTGGCTGGGGGTGTCTGCATTTTCTCAGTTTCACCTTTATGCAGGACAGTGACTCAGTATTACAAGGACAGGATATATTTGATGCCGGGTCTCTCAATAGTAGTTTGGGAAGGTCTTGGAATTCTATTTGGAATAGAAAAAATGCAATGGTACTTCTCTGGAAGAATAGGCTGATTCCAAAGCAGCCCAGTTTCTAGAGCTGTGATGAAAGACTCCTGAATAGATCAGAAATATAAAAAGAGCTGGATTTGTCTAAATCAGACCTCTGCAAAGAAATCGTTGCTGCAGAGATAATTTCCTTCCCTTTGTATTTGCAGTACTGAATGACATGAATGCTCTCTGAACTCGCCATAACACAAAACTGAATTGAGCACATGATAGTGGGTCAGTTTCTGCAATCTTTACCAAAGCAAAATCTATGTACATTAATATAGAAAATGGAAACTACAGAGTGATGAATAACAGCAGTTGACTGTAACCCATAAATCTATAAATTACTGTAGCACATTTTCCCTTCCTGTTTTTAAATTTTTCAGTATTTTATGAGAATCTATGACATACAAGGATTTGGGCTTAGAACTCCTTAATAGTTGGGGAAGCCAGACTGACTGAAAATCTGAAAATCTAAACAAAGAATTTGAAAAATGTTTGCAGAAATGGTTTTGGACCCATTCTAGTCTTAACCCTAATAATCAAGTAAAGTATGTTCTTGGTTGAAATTTTCCACATAGGATCTCAGTCTAAGTGTTTATTTCTACCTTTAGAAAATGTGTTTTAAATTTTTGCAACACCTAATCAATTTTAATGTAAAGTGAAAATCAATCTTACTTTTATTTTAATTTTTATGCATTAACAATAGTTTGCTTTAAGCAGAAAACTATGGTATATAGACATGTATTTTGACAACAGACATACAGATCCATTATGAGTCTGTCATACTATTCAGATATATGAGGAATACTGAGATTTACTGCAGTGTGTACTATTTTCTACACAATTTCTAGTATATCAATGGAGACATTTAAAAAGTCTATTAACTCTGTATGAAGCAAAGTCTCTTATAGATTTCAAAAGGATCCACTAGAACTTGTGTGAATTATCCAGGGCTAAAACTTTTTATGTTGGAATCTCTTAATTTGCTTTTATGTGTTTTAATGAAGAATGCACAAATTAATGAAGCACGTTTCTTTAACGCATGCATTTATCAAAATGCTCTGGTTTTTTTTTATCACAGTCATGGAAGTGACCCAGCCAGCAATGGTCCTGGCGAACAGGAAAGGAACTGCCAGCTTGGTGTGTGAATATAAGCACATTGGGAACGCAAAGGAAATCCGAGTGACTCTGCTTAAGCAGACAGGCAACCAGTTCACGGAGATCTGTGCTTCAACTTACACAACTGAATATGAGATGTTCAGTGTGGAAAAGATCATTCAGTGTCATGTTAGCCCTAGCCGAAACAACGTGACTCTCACCCTCACAGGGCTACAGCCTAATGATACTGGTCTGTATATCTGCAAGATGGAAAGGATGTATCCACCACCCTATTTTATGAACACAGGCAATGGGACACAGCTCTATGTCATTGGTGAGTAAAATAGCTTTATGAGTCTATGTTATTTCATATGTTATTAAGTGAGCTGCTACCTTGTCTTACAGGAATCAATATAGAGGGTTAAACAAAATTTCAAGTTAGAATTATTATGTTTGATCCCTTTAAAACCTACTTGTAGAGAGATAAGGTAGTCATAATGTATTTATCAAACTGTCATTCTTACATGCTTGACTATGAAAACCATGTGACTATACCACATTTATCATGCATGCATGCCTAGATGCATGTGTATGTATAAGCACATAAATAGCAGAGGCCAAGTCATGTAGTTCCTTACCCAAGCCAATTTTCTGCAGAGAAAAATGGGATTTTTGAGTGGGTGTGGACTACAGTGTTTGGCTTTACTAACACATTGGTGAGTTTTACCATAGACAGCTGCAGTACACTATAACTGAAGTGGATTTCTCACCAGGTTTATGTTTTAATTTGATTTGTTTCAGATCCTGAGCCCTGCCCAGACACTGACCTTTACCTTTGGATATTAGGAGCTGCTGCATCAGGATTGTTTCTTTACAGTATCATAATCTCAGCCTTTCTTTTGAGCAGAGCAGTAAGTACCATATTCATAACAGCATAAAATTATGATAGTTTGCATAGATACGAGAGGAGGAAAGAGAAAACCGTAGGAAAAAAATAGGTGCTGGATTCACTGGAATGCCCTTGCCCCTTTCTGTTGTCCTACTAGTGACAAAAAATAACCACATTTGACCATCCATTTAAGCCAGTTTATGACTGTTTTACATAGCCAAAGTGGCAGAAAGAAATCAGGTCCTACCAGTGAACTTGATTCTTTTTTAGCTTCTGATACAAGAAAGTACTGAAATCCCAAGCGGAAGCTCACCAGCCTTTATTGGGATCTAAGGTTACATAGCCTCTATACGTATTCTTTTCCACATCTTTGTCCTGGTTTTTCATTGCTACCCACTGTGCTGTCTGTCCACCTCTCTATGAAGATGTAGAAAATTGCCACTGTTGACAGTGCAGATTTTGTATTTGATAGTGCTTTACATTCACTGTGCACAGGTGTAAATAGCTGCACAGGCTGAAGGCAATAGGGAATCAGAGCATTTAGTTAATTTTTCTCTTAAATGACAATAGGTCATTTAAGGTATATTGCCTGTTAGAAAACATCCAATCCCAACGGTCAGAACCAAACACTCTGAACAATAAAGCTAGATCCAGAAAGCAGATGGCTAGATGAACTAAATTAAACACCTAGATCTAAATACTGATAATTTTGATTTGGCATTGAACTTTGCAACCTGCACCCGCTTTACTATTAATTTAATAGGAGTTTTTCTGAATGTTACCTAAAGCTAATCTATCCCAGCTGCTCCTTTGGACAAACACCACTTGGCTTTATCAGCCCAATGACTTTTGCTTATTATTGTTTCCCAAATCATTACAGTGACTGATTAACAGTGTCTGCATTGGGAAGTCTCACACAGAATTAAACTTATTTTGTTCATATATTTTATAGATACGGAAAAGACGTTATCTCACTACTGGGGTCTATGTGAAAATGCCTCCAGAAGAACCACAGAAGACATTTAAACCATTCCATATCACCGTTAACTAAAAGAAGAAAACTGAAATGGGCGATTTGTAGCAGATTCTGTTATTTGGCTTCCTAATTTAAACAAATAAAACTCAAATTTCTTATTATAGAGTGGGGGGAGAAGAGAATATACCTTGTAATTTTTACAGTTTGGAGTAGAATAAATGAAGAAGAAGGTTATGCATTAATATTTCAAGGATACTCCTATCACCCCAAAATGGCTATATTTTGGCCATTGGTTCTATGAGTTGTATTGTACCAATATGTACATGTATGTATGTGTGTGTGTTTGTATGTATATACACGCACACGTGTATATGTACCTATATACATACATATGTACATATACATACATGTGTGTATGTGTGTATCTATATATACATACATACATGCATACATATATATATACATACATACAGATACATACATAGTTAGCATTAAGAGCTATTGCTATTGCAGGCAAATATCTTATTGTCAAATTTCAGCATATCTGTTGATCAGCTGAAACCAAACACTATTAAGACCAAGGCTTGTGTGTCATTGCAGTGATAACTGAAGGAGTTGTGGGATGGAGGCAGAACAATACACTAATGTATAAAGAAATGTTGATGAATTTCCATTCAGTGCTATAAATTTGATGCCATTTCTTGCATTAGTGCTGAGCATTCCCACAGCAACATCAGCACTGCCTAGCACTGATGACACTGCTGCTGTAAAAGCCTGATCTAAGCTCCTTTTGCTGGCATTGTGTCACTGGATGCTGCGCTGGAGGTAACATTGATTGTATCTGAGCTAATGCTGACAGAGCTGTTGGAGAGAAAGGTCTCACTGCAGGAGCCCTATTAGGCTGTTGCTGGGAGGACACTCAAGCTCTGTTGGGTCCTTGCTTTTAAGAATGCTAAATTAGCATCAATCCACAAGGCAGGAGGTCTGTTGCTGTGTTTAACAGTCTATTTTCCATGAAAATGCAGAAAGTGTATAATCTTGTTTATTAGTTATATACTGTTCAATAAAAATCTTGAAGCTTTGCCCAAAATTAAGTTAATTTTTTATTCACCGCTTTCAGAAGAAACAGGGAGTGGCTACATGTTAGAAAGCAGTATGTCAAATGAACCTTTACCTTCTGTCCATGATTTTTTGCCTTTTGATACCCATACCTAGACATACATGCACACACACATGCATTAACTCCTTTTTCTTTAGCTTTCTTTCTTCAAGTATTCAGTGGTTGTCATTAAAAATCTGTCTTGTCTTCCATTTGATTAAGAGATGTTACTGTGGCAATGTTTAGAATTGATATAGTCATTGACTTCAGGACAAGGGTGAAGTTAAATTATTTTCAAAAGGTGACCATAAAGATTGTAGTGGTATCTTCTGTAACTTTATGCAAAAGGCTGGTTCTAGCTTCAGATCCTGTTGTTTCAGCTCTCTAAAAGAAGCTCTCACTCATTAAACAGAAGCCAACAAATGAAACTGTTTTCAAATTAGAACGTAAAACACCGTCAGCTACCATCTACTGTTTCACATTCAAACTTGAAACCTTAGATCAAAACATGCCAGACATTGTCTTTCTCAAATTCCTTTTATGGCTGAGATGACATTCAGCCTCTCAACCTTGAACTCTAATCTTCTCTATATCATGCTTGTGACGGGAGTCGTATACAGGACTCCCACATCACCTCACATCACATCACATCACATCACATCACATCACATCACATCACATGTTTTTGTTCAGTTTTGTCTTTCTCTATATTTCTGCAAATCCTAAGTTCCTATAAATAAAATGTCTGCAAATGATTAACTATGCTTCACTGCTGCCATCACGTAATGTAATGTGTTAAATATGGATCAGAGTATGATATTACAGTCCTTTTCTATAGCTGTTTTATTGTTTAACATGTCTTAACAATCTGTTAGAATGAAGATAATGGAGACTGGCATATATGGGCACATACACATATGCAAGTATGTGCAGTTGCAGCAGCTCAAATAGCAGCGGTACAACTTCGTGCTGGAGATTTATGCCTCAGCACACATGCCTGAATGTTCACTTTGGTGTGGGGCAAATTGTGCTGCTTGGGGCAAACTGGCCTTGCCCAGTTCCTCCCAGATCTGCAGCCAGGGGGAGCTGGAGGCAGCACCTGAGCTGGCCCCAGCAATATAAAAAGGTGCTCTGGCGAGCAGTTCAGGAGCTTCTGAGGACCAGCCAGTTGTTATCTGGGAACACTAGCCCTCTGTGTCAGCTGGACAGCTGCGCAGCCCTGACCTAGAGTGGCCCCTGCATCCTCTACCCATTGCAGCAGTTTGGCAGTGGGGGCTGCTACCTGGCTGTTATCTGCTGCCACCTGTGACGGCATCCACCTCCTTGGACCTGTGGCCCCATGACTGGGCTTCATGCCTGCCAGACCCAGATAGGGACTGCATGGCAGCCTCAGCTGTGGTACAAGCACTGTAGCAGAGCCGCCTTCACCTCTGGGCCAGAAGCCAGCAGGCTGTGGTTTTACAGTTGGCCTTCATACAGCACTGCTGCCACGTCTTCCAGTGCCCCC